TCCCGGTCCCTCCTCTGCAGGATGGAATCCTCATTCCCCACAGGCTGGGGAGTCTGTAGCCACAGATCCAGGACTTTCTTCTGCTGGAGATAGCTGGTACAGTGGGGACACTCCCCTTCCTGGTGGCAGCCTGCATCTAGTGACCTGTGTGTGTGGTGGGATAGAGACAGGGCCCCCACCCAGCACCAGAGCCCCGTTAGTTCTCCTATGGGCCCCGCTGTGTCTGCTTCACAGATCAACATCCCTCTCCACCCACCTCCACTCCCTTCATCCCTTCCTACCCTCAGGCATGTTCTCTGGTCCATCTGGACTTCCTGCACACTAGTCTGTAAGTAGAGTTAGCTCCTGAGAACCTTCACCTGCCACAATTTATGTTTTCTTTCTTTTTCTTATTGAGTTATAACTTACATACACTAAAATCCACCCTTTTTAGTGAACAGTTCTGTGAGATTTAGTAAAGGAGTACAGAAGTGTAAACACTTCCACAATCATCATGTATAACAGTTCAATCATTGTGTATAAGTTCCCCAGACCTCTTGATAGGCACACCCTGCCTCCACCCCATACCCCACAACTTCGGATCTGTCGTCTGTCCCTATAGTTGGGTCTTTGCAAGAACATTATATAAATGGAATCATACATGGTAGCCTTGTGGTTCTGGTTTCTTTCACTCATCATAATGCATTTGAGATGCGTCTATGTTGCTGTATGTTAATAGTTCCTTCCATTTTCCTTGCTGAGTAGAATTCCTTTGCAGGTATGAATCACTGTTTGTTTATCTATTCCCCAGTGAAGTAACCTTTGGGCCATTTCCAGTTTCCACTCTTTGGCAATTTCACATAAAACTTTATACATTTGTTATCAGTTTTTGTGTGGACATAAGTTTTCATGTCACTCAGGTAAATCCCTGGGAATGGAAGGTCTGAGTCATAAGGTAGATATGTGTTGAACTTTCTCAGAAACTGGCAAACTGTTTTCCAATATGGATGCTTGATTTTCCATTTTCATTATCGCCAGACATTTATGAGACTTCCAATTGTTCCACGTCCTCATTAACACTAGATTGTCAGGGTTTTTAAAGCCATTTTAATCTATCTGTAGTGGTATCTCATTATGTCTTTAATTTTAATTTTCTTAGTGACATGTGATGTTGAGCATCTTTTCAGCTGCTCATTTGTCATCTGTGTATTTTGTTTGGTGAAGAGTTTGATCAAATCTTTGCCCATTTTCAAATTCAAATTCCCCACGTGACTTGTACTCATCTGTGTGTGTGTATTTAGATTGATGTGATTTTATCCCATGAGTAGGTTCATGTGTCCACCACCACAGTCAGGATACAAAACAGGTCCATCTCCAAAGGGATCTGTTGTGTTGTCCTTTTATAACAACATCCACTTCCTCCCTCCGCGGTTCCCTTCACTGTCCCTATCCCCCTGGCATCCACTAATTGATTCTCCGTTTCTAAAATTTTGTCTTTTCAGAAATGATACATAGAAATAAAAGAATAGAGTCCTATTGTATGTAGCCTTTTAGGATTGGCATTTTTCACTCTGCATAAGCCACCGTACATTCATCAACACCGTTGTGTGCATTAAGAGGTCGTTCGTTTTCATTGCTGACTAGTAGTCCATGGTCCTATTGTACCAAAGTCTGTTTACCAATCCCCCATTCTTCAATGAAACATCTGGATTGTTCTCACTTTGCGGTGTTACACATACAGGTGTATGAACATTTGTGTATAGTTTCTCTCTCAGCATGTTTTTATTTTCTGAAATAAATGCCCAAGAGTACAAGTGCTGGGTTCTATGGTAACCACAAGTTTACTTTTCTTAAGAAGCTGTCATGCCCTTTTGCAGAGTGGCTGCACCATTTCACGTTCGCATCAGCAAGTATGAGTGATTCAGTTTCTCCACATCCTTGCCAGCATTTAGAGCTGTCACTATTTTTATAGTGACAACTATATCAGCCATTCTGATAGGTATGTAGGGATCTCTCCTGTGGTTTTCATGTGCATTTCCCTCATGGCTAATGATGAACATCTTTTCACGTGCTGTTTGCCATTCCTATATTTCTTCCATGAAATATTTGTTTTTGTTCATTGTACATTTTCTGAATGGATTTATTTTTACTGTTTAGTTTTGAGCATTTTTAAATACTCTATACACTAGTTCTTCATTGGATATGTGGTTTGCAAATATTTTTCTCATACTACTTAGATAGTGTTACAGAGCAAAAGATGTTAAACTTTTTTTTTCTTGGTGAGGATGATTGGCTCTGAACTAATATCCATCACCAATCTTTCTCTATGTTGTATGTGGGACACCTCCACAGCATGGCTTGCTGGGTGGTGTAGGTCTGAGCCCAGGATCCAAACCTGGGAATCCGGGCCACCAGAGTGGAGTGTGCCAAACTTTACCACTATGCCACCAGGCCAGCCCTGAAAGATATTAATCTTGACGAGGTTCAATGTATTAATCTTCCTTTTATGAATCATGCTTCTGGTGTCATCAAACAATTCTTGTCTAGCCTTAAATCTCAAAGATTTTTCCTATGTTTTTTGTTTTTGTAAAAGATAAAAAAAGGATTGCCTGAGAGGTACATGAGCAACTTCTCTGTATCTGATCATGAATTCTGGCCTCTCATACAACAGCATGACCACTGTTCCTGTAAGCTCCTGTTTCAAGCACTGCACAGCCCACACCCATGGATGACCCATCACTAGAGAGCATGACTGAGGGGTTCTCCCCAAGCCCAGAGAGGAAACCCAGGGCACAGACTAAGGTATGTGTACATGTGTTGGGGGCAGGGGGCAGCACTTTCTCACTCAACACCAGAGAGAGCTCTGAACACTCAGGTACAGGCCTTGGGGACAGGACCCATTTTCAAAGCCTCCTTTAAGCTGAGCCCTTTTCTGCTCAGCAGGAAGACACCCAACAAGGCCACTAAAAGAAGGAAGTAGATTTGCATTTCTTCAGAGAATAAGAGAGGCCCTGAGGCACATCCCCAGCTGTGAGCTCAGAGGCAGAGCTCTGGGGCATCTCCACCATGGCCTGGACCCCTCTCCTGGGTCTCAGCCACCAGGGGGCAATGGAGGGTCCCATGATAGAGCCTCACAGGTGAGGAATGGCTGCTCCCCTTTCCAACAAAACCAGGAACATTGAGGACACCCAGAAATGAGGGAATTTTTATAACTTGTGTCCACACTACTTCTGTTCTTGAACACAAGATATTAAATGCAACTACAATATTAAAGATGAATCTGAGCCATCAACACATATTTTCATTATTAGTCATTGTAATGAAGGACAATAGTCTGTGTGAATTTTTTTAATGAATATTGCTTTAAGTATCTCTTTCAGAAAAGATCATTTCCATAAACCTCATTACAAATCATAAAGTTACATTTTGTTCATAGCTCTATAAAGGAAAGCTGATCATAAGGAATATTTTACTGAACTTGGATGACCTGGCATTCTCCACAAAGAGATACATTTGCCCAATTCACAAGCACAGTTCACTTTTATGAAGGTCAGTTCTCCCAGGATGTACTAGCAAGTTCCATCCATGTTGTAATGAGACCCAGAAGCAAAGGCGTCAGAACTGGCCTGGGGAGTGGCCAGCAGGGCCCATGGGGGAGACTCTGAGGGGTGAAGCGTGAGGAGTGGAGGCATCGAGGTGGGAAGGTGGAGAGGAGCCGTGTGTAACACACTCAGTGGGAACAGTGGTGCGCGTGTCTGAGGCATGTGGCCCTCGTCTCATCTTCAATGATCTCTTCAGACCAAACTCTGAGGAGTGAGCACGTGGGTCTCCTGTCTGTGCACAGGTATCAGCACAGCGCATCACACGTTATTTCTATGAAGAACGTCTCCAGAATTTCGTAAGTGAACTAGCATCATCACATCCTCAGAAGTACTAGGTTTGAAAACAAATACATTTCTTCAAGATTTTAGGTGAAAAATTCATCTTGCCAATCAAGTTTATTAAAATTAAAAGGTTTCTGTTCCTACTCTGACAGTTGTCCAAACTCAATGGCCTTGGCCATGTTAGAAAAGGATCCTGATCCTAACATGTCAGGATATCAGCCTGACATGAAGAGTCTGACCAGACCTCTGATTCCCCAATGTCCCGCTGACACAGGTTCCCGTGTTGTCTGTCATGGAGGGAGCAGAAGGAGGGTCCCCACATCTGTCCACAGAGACCTGTGTTTCCATGGGACACACAGATTCCAGCACCATGAAGATCTGCGCGCTCTTCAGCACAGACTCAGGGAGGAGGAGCACCTGAACACAGAAGAGAGGGTGGGGACAGGAGGCCTAGGAGGGCTGGGATGAGGGAGGAGGAGGACATGGGGCATGGTGAGGGGCAGGCAGGGAGGGGCTCACAGGTCAGGTTCTGAGCTCAGTGTCCTGGATGGGAATTTTGACTCACTCCTCACCATCTGGGGAACTTCGGGGAAATCGTTTAACCTCACAGTGATGGCTCCCTCTTCATCAGACTAGAGGAGAGGGTGACCTTAAGCAGAGGGCTGCTGGTGGATTATTGTGATTTCTGGTTGAGGAGGTGCATGTCAACACTCAGCAAGGGTCTGGCATCTATTGAGGGCTCAGAAGGAGTCAGTCTGTTGAACTAGCTGTCCATATAGGATGGCATTCATCCCGGGGGCGCCAGGGGGCACTCTGGGTCTTGGTTTGGAGACCCTAATAAATACAAATCCGCTGGGCTGTGCTCAAGTGCAAAGGGCATGACTGATGCTTCCTTTGCAGACACTTCTATTGTGTAGAATCAACCCCCCCCACTATGAAACCCACACCTGGCCCTTTTTCAGACCTCTGGAAATTACCAGCAGGAGGTCCTTAGGCTCAGAGCTCAGACAAGAGCTTAGACAGAGGGAATGGAGACTAGATTTGCATTCAATGCTCCTCCCTTCTAGAGCTGCAAGGAGAGGATAAGACTGGAGTTTGTAGAGGCCAGTCCAGCTGGCAGCTTCGGGGAAGAGCTCCTAGAAGTTCCTCCACAATGGACTGGCTTCCCTTCTACCTCCTGCCCCTCATTTTCTCCACAGGTCAGAGTGTCCCAGGGCACTCAAGGGTCTCCATCCCTGAAATTTCCCTCCAAGCACAGTACCCAAGGACATCTGTCCAGTCTCTGTGCATTCAGCATCATTCTGGTATTTTCTGTTTCCAGGTCTCTGTGCTGCGCCTGTGCTGACCCAGTCTCCATCTGCTTCTGCCTCCCTGGGAGCCTCTGTCAAGCTCACCTGCACCCTGAGCAGCGAGCACAGCACCTACTACATTCAGTGGTATCAACAGAGACCAGGGAAGGCCCCTGGGTATGTGATGAAGGTCAGCAGTGATGGAAGCCACACCAAGGGGGATGGCATCCCCAACCGCTTCTCAGGCTCCAGCTCTGGGGCTGACCGATACTTAACCATCTCCAACATCCAGTCTGAGGATGAGGCTGAGTATTATTGTGGTGTAAGCTATAAAACTGGTGACCAATATGGGTAAGCCACAGTGACACAGACAAAGGGAAAGTGAGGCCAAAACCTCCCCTTCTCTCTTCCCCATGGGGACTCAGGGTGAGCTGCTCCCTGTCCTTCCCCAGGACCTGAGGCCTTTGACTCATCTCCTTGTAAACCCCATTGTTCTGCATCTCCTCCCTGAGACACTGCTAGGATTAGGCACACATGGGTCATAATTTAGGTCATTTTGACAGCACAACATTCTATTTCCTCTACCACAGGCCTGTTGGGACAATGCTGGGAGAGATCAGACCACCCCAGGCAGGAAAATGATCCTGAGAGAGCAGCTGGACTGAGATGACCATGTCCCCAAGAACCTTTAGGCTCTGTGCACCTATCATGGGGCTCTGCTTGGGTAAGCAACACAGATCTCAAGGTTCCAGGGGAGACCCTGGAAGTCATCTGCAGCTAATCCTGACTCCAGGTGCACCATGGTATACAGCAGGACTCCTGTCAGGGTTCAGGCTCAGCAGGAAGCATTTGGCCCTCAAAGGAAGCAGGATGGAGAGACTTGAACTCCATGGTAGGTGCTGAGCTGGGGTCCAGCAGGGAAGCGGGGTGCATGTTAGGAGGTCTGTGGCAGGCCCAACATGGAGTTCTTCTCCAGCTGTGGTAGATCCTCAGCTTGTAGTGTGAAAGAGGTCTCCACATCCTGCCCACAGGACTTTTCCAGGGTAAGGGAAGGACCACATCCACTGGGACAGCAGCAGGACATGGGGGATGGGGGACGCTGAGATGGAAAATAGCTTGACTCCTGGAGTCTCAGCCCTGTGGATGATCCACCTGAAATGCATTTGGAGGGGACAGGTTTCCTGGATGTGTTGATTTCCTCCACAGCTTTTCTAGAATCTGAAAACAAGCCTCTTTCACACACACCTGCACCTTGTGTCAGCAAGGGGCAGCCGTATTGACCAAATAACCCTGGTCTCTGGCACTGACCTGAGCAGAGTCAGGCAGGATTTCAGGGCTGGGGTCCAGAACATCAGGCCAGTCTAGCCCCATGTATGAGCTCTGAGATGTAAAGTCCAGGAGCTGCCTGTGGCCTGGATGACTCCCAAGTGGGCAGGAGGGGAGGAGGTGGCTGGTCTCCCAGGGAGGGAGTGGACGGGGAGCAGGAGGGTAGGAGGAGAGAGGGACATCAGGGCTCAATCCTGCAGGGACCTGTGTCAGCCTGTGGTTGGCTGAGTCAGCGGGGTCACAGGGCCATCCCCCATCCTCCCCACTCCAGTAAAGGGTTGGTCTCTACAAGAGTTTACAGTGACTTTGTCTCCAACAAGACCTCCAGTGGGTCCTGCCAGTGGAGAGTTTCCTCCACCGCTTACATTGTAGGAAAGGGAATCAGGAGGACTGTAGAGAAATAAATCCTAACCCCAGTGTGGACCACACCACATCCATGTCCACCTGGGCCTTGTGTGCTAACAACTTGGAGGAAGGTCAGCAGTAGCCTCTGATGGACAGACAGAGGGACAAACTGCTAAAAGTGATGACAGTGAATGGAAAATGGAAGCAGACAAAGATCATCCCCCATTGTGCTTAGATGGTGACCAAGCAGTGAGGGAGCTGCCACCACAAAGCCTTGTCAGAGAGGGACCAAAGGACCATTAGAAACCATTTCTTATGGTCAAGGTTATGACAGGGGCAGGGTCTCATCAGAGGCCACTGTCAGCTCCTGTCATCTGAAAGTGACAATGAATGGTGAGAAGGACAAATGTGCTTCCCAGGTTTGTTGACAGCCACGCACTTGTCCTCACAGATGCCAGGTGACCCTGAGACCAGGAGTGACAGTTTATGTCAAAAGTACTTGTTGCTGTAATCTTAGCAGAGTCTTAAGGATGGACATCAGGTAGTGTCATTGTCACAGTAGGGGAATCTCTAAAGCCTGAGGAGCTATTGACAAATCAGTCCAGGGAGCAGCTGAAACAGGTCACAGGACCTGCACGTGGAGGCAGGTTGGAGCTTGCTGTGGCTGTGAGTGCACAGGGGAGGCCAGGCAGCTGGGCAGGAGTGAGAGTGTGCTGGAGGAGGGGTCCTTCCCCTCTGGCTCATCCTGTGCCTCTCACTCTCTGTCTATGTCTCTCTCTCTCTCTCCCTCTGTCTCTCGTTATTTTCTACCGTTAGTCATACTCTAGTTAATTCTTCTAGTTCATCTTTATCCTACACTGTTCCTTTTATATGCCTCTTTTCTCATTGTCTTTTCCTGTCCATTTTGTGTGTGTGCATTTTAAGTCTTTACTCCTTAAAGTTCATAACAGTAAAAATTATGACATTGACTCTGTCACTGTCCTAGGTGTCCTGTGTGAACACCAAAATCCCATTCCCTCCCCTGCAGGATGGAGTCCTCATTCCCCAAAGGCTGGGGTGTCAGCACCTGCGGCTCCAGGAATTGCTTCTGCTGAAGAGAGCTGGCACAGCGGGGACACTCCCCTCCTGGCAGAAGCCTCTATCTAGTGACCTGTGTGTGTGGTGGGGTAGAGGCAGGGCCCCACCCCGTTTAATAGGATTTGAAGAGCAGGCCCAGCACCAGAGCTCCTGTACATTCTACTGCGGGCCTGACTGTGTCTGCTTCACAGATAACATCCCTCTCCACCCACCTCCACTCCCTTCATCCCTTCCTGTCCTCAGGTGTGTTCCCTGGTCCACCTAGACTTCCTGAAGGTTAGTGTCTAAGTGAGAGTTAGCCCCTGGGAACCTTCACCTACCACAATTTAGTTTTTCTTTTTCTGTTTTTTATTGAATTATAATTTACATTCACTAAAATCCACCCTTTTGAGTGAGCAGTTCTATGAGTTTTGATAAATGCTTACAGAGATGTAAGTACTTCCACAACCATGATGTATAAAAGTTCAATCATTGTCTATAAATTCCCCAGACCTCTTGGTAGTCACACCCTCCCTCCACCCCCCACCCCACAACTCCTGATCTGTTGTCTGTCCCTATAGTTTGGTCTTTTCAAGAACATCATATAAATGGAATCAGACATGGTAGCCTTTTGTTTCTGGCTTCTTTCACTCAGCATAATGCATTTCAGATGTGTCTATGTTGCTGTACGTCAATAGTCCATTCCATTCTCCTTGTGAATAGAATTCCTTTGCATGGGTGAACCACAGTTTGTTTATCCATTCCCCAATGAAGTAACATTTAGGTTGTTTCCAGTTTCCACTCTTTGGCAATTTCATATACAACCTTTATAACATTTGTTATAGTTTTCTGCGTGGATATAAGTTTTCATTTCACTCAGCTATATAACTGAGAACAGAACTTCTGGGTCATATGGTACATATGCTGAAGTTTCCCAGAAACTACCAAATTTTTTTCCAATGTGGATGCTTGATTTTGCATTTTCATTATCACCAGGCATTTATGAGACTTCCAGTTGTACCACATCCTCATTACCCCCAGATTGGCAGGGTTTTTTTTAAGTCATTTTAATGTATCTGTAGCGGTATCTCATTATGTTTTTACTTTTCGTTTCTTCAGTGACATGTGATGTTGAGCATCTTTTCAGCTGCTCATTTGTCATTTGTGTATTTTGTTTGGTGTAGAGTTTGATCAAATCTTTGCCCATTTTCAAATTCACATTCCCCAGGTGACTTGTACTCATTTGTGTGTGTGTATTTAGATTGATGTGATTTTATCCCATGAGTAGGTTCATGTGTCCACCACCACAGTCAGGATACACAACGTTCCATCTCCACAGGGATCCCTTATGTTGTCCTTTTCTATCAACATCCACCTCCTCCCTCTGAGGTGCCCTTCACTGCCCCTAACCCCTGGCATCCACTAAAGGATTCTCATTTTAAAATTTTGTCTTCTCAGAGATGATATATAGAAATAAAAAATAGAGTCCTTCAGTATGTAGCCTTTGGGGATTGGAATTTTTCACTATGCATAATCTGCTCTAAATTCATCAATATCAGTGTGTGCACTAAGAGTTCAGTCCTTTCCATTACTGTTCAGTACTGAGTAGCACTCCAGTAGTACTGAGTAGTATACCATGGTCCTGGTATGCCAAAGTCTGTTTATCCATCCACTCATAAGAACATCTGGATTATTCTCACTTTGGGGCTATTATGCAAGAGTGAATGAACATTTGTTTATAGTTTCTCTGTGAACAAAGTTTTCATTTTTCTGAAATAAGTGCCCAAGAGTACAGTTGATGGTTGTATGGTAACCACCAGTTTAGTTTTTTAAGAAGCTGCCATATTCTTTTCCAGAGTGGCTGCACCATTTCACATTCCCATCAGCCAAGCATGAGTGATCCAGTTTCTTCACATCCTTGCCAGCACCTAGACTTTTCACTATTTTTATTGTATCCATTCTGATAAGTATGTAGGGATATCTCCTGTGGTTTTCATGTGCATTTCCCTCATGGCTAATGAGGAACATTCTTAAGTGTGCTCTTTGCCATCTCTATGTCCTCTTCCATTAAATATTTATTCTTGTTCATTGCCCATTTTCTGACTGGATTGTAATTTTACTGTTCAGTATTGAGAGCTCTTTATATACTCTCTACACTAGTCCTTCATTGGATATGTGGTTTGCAAATCTTTTCTCTCTGTTACTTGTTTTTTTATCCTCTTTAGAAAATTTTGCAAAGCTAAATATGTTAATTTGATGAGGTTCAGTGTATTGAGCCTCCTTTTATGAATCATGATTTTGATGTCATCAAAGAATTCTTGCCTAACCCCAGATGCCAAGGATTTATCTTTTGTTATTTTTCTAAAACATGAAGAAAGGATTGCCTGAGAGGCACATGAGCAATTTCTCTGTATCTGATCATGAATTCTGGCCTCTCAAGCTCCTGCTTCAAGCACTGCCCAGCCCATCCACATGGATGACCCATCAGTAGAGGGCATAAATGAGGGGTTCTTCCCAAGCCCAGAGAGGAAACCCAGGGCACAGACTGAGGTGTGTGTACATGTGCTGGGGGCAGGGCCCAGCACTTTCTCACTCAACAGCAGAAGGAGCTCTGAGTCCTCAGGAACAGGCCTTGGGGACAGGACCCACTTTCACAGCCTCCTTTAAGCTGAGCTCTTTTCTGCTCAGCAGGGAGACACCCCTCAAGGCCACAAAGAGGAAGGAAGTAGATTTGCATTTCTTCAGAGAATAAGAGAGGGCCTGAGGCACATCCCCAGCTGTGGGCTGAGAGGCAGAGCTCTGGGGCGTCTCCACCATGGCCTGGACCCCTCTCCCGCTCCCCCTCCTCACTCTCTGCACAGGTGCTGCCCCTCAGGGCTCAGCCCCCAAAGAAACCAGGGAGCAGCCTGGCCCTGACCTTCAGCTCTGCAGAGGGCAGGCTGCAGGGTGTGTGCCCTCTGGGAATGAGACCCTCATCCTCACACTCACCTCTCCTCTCCTCTCTTACAGGTTCTGTGGCCTCATCTGCCGTGTCTGTGGCCTCAAGACAGATGGCCAGGATCACCTGCCAGGGAGAGAGCCTAAAACATTATTATGCTCACTGGTATGAGCAGATGCCAGACCAGGCTCCTGTGCTGGTCATCTATTATGGTAGCAACCATCCCTCAGGAATCCCTAACTGATTCTCCAGCTCCTACTCAGGGTTCATGGCCACCCTGACCATCAGTGGTGCCTGGGCTGAGGACAACACTCACTATTACTGCCAGGTGTGGCATTACAGTGGTGAAGCTCACAGTGATACAGCCTGATGGGCAAGTGAGACACAAACCCCTTCCCCGTCTGTGTCACACTCTCCTCCAACCCCAGGAGGACTGTAGACAAAGCCATGAGCAGGTCTAGCCCAGGTCCCCAGATCTGAAATCTCCAGGCTGCCCTCTCCTCCCAGCCCTTCAGGCAGGCTCTGCAGAAGGTGGATCAGCATAAGACACATAAACAGTTATTATAACCATATTTCATTTGTTATTGTGGGCCGACAAAAGATTGAACATGTCAGGAGCAGATATGTAGGATTTCAGAAAAGACCAGATCAAACTTAGGGAGATGAAATGATATGGTCTGTGATTTAAAAATACACTGGATGAGAGTGACATCAGATTAGATCCTGCAAAAGAAGAGATTTGTGAACTTGATGTTATGGTAATAGAAACTATCCAAAATGAAACACAGAAAGAGAAAGACTTAAAAAAATTTATAAAGCCTCAGTGAGTTGCAAGACAACTTCATGCAACCTAAAAAGTGTGTAATAGGAGGAACTAGTGGGGAGAAGAAGGGAAGCAGGTCATGAATGGAAAAAATATTTGAAGAAACAGTAGCAAAAAATGTTCCAAATTGATGAAATTCATAAACCAATATATCCAAGAAGCTCAACACAGCTTGGGCACAGGAAACATGAGAAACAGCACCAACACACATCATAATGGAGTTGGTACAAACCAGTGATGAAGACACACTCTTAAAAGCAGCCAGAGAGTAAAGAGACATTATGTACGGAGGAACAAGCATCATGGTGAGAGCAGGTTTCTCATTAGAAGCCATGTAAGCAAGAAAACAGTGAAGCAATGTCTTTAAAATAATAAAAGTAAAACATGTCACCCTTGAATTCTTTACCCAGAGAAAATATCATTCAAAGATGAAGGCAAAATAAAACCTTTTGAGACATGCACAATCTTACAGAATTGACCACTAGCAGATCCTCCCTACAAGAAAGAGTACAGGACGCCCCTGAGATAGAAGAAAATGATGATAGAAATGTGAATCTACACAAAGAAATAAAAAGATCAGATATGGTAACTATGTGGATAAATATAGAAATATTTTTATTTGTCCATGTCTATGAAAGATAGTCAACTTTTCAGAGCAAAAATAATAAAGTATGTTGTGATTTGCAAAGAACGTAAAAATAAAATATATGACAATGATACCACAAATGCTTGGGGGAGAAAAGAACATGTTATGATGTTCTTATTCTATATGTGAAATGATAGCATATCACTGGAAGGTAGACTTTGATAAGTGAATCATTTAAGTTGAAAACCATTAAAATAAAACCATTTTAATAGCAAAGAGTTACATATCCTAAAGGTTCTATATTTTCTGGAGAAGCATAACTAATACATCTTATTAGCTATATCTCATATGTATATAAAATGTATATGTGTATAAGTATATAAATACATATACACATATATGAGAGATATACATTATATGTATACATAGAGAGAGAGAGAGATTTATTTTAAGTAATGGCTCTTGTAATTGTGAGGCTGGCAAGTCTGAAATCTGTGGGCAGACCAGAAGGCTAGATATTCAAGTAAGAGTTGATGTTTCATCATTAGTCCAAATTTAATCTAAATGATTGACCATGTTAAGAGGAAACAGAGAAGAAAATAAAAAGATCCAAATCAAACTTCTAGAGATGAAAACTACAATGTCTCAGATTAAAAATACAAGGGATGAGATTAACAGCAGATATGATACTGCAGAAGAAGAGACTAGTGAACTTGAGGACACAGTAATAGAAACTGCAAAAGGAAAGACAGAAAAAAGATATTAAAAATTATCAGAGAATCACTGAGTTATAGGACAACTTTAAGCAACATAAATGGAGGTAATTGGAATCCCCCAGAAAGAAAAAGTGGAGTGGGGAAGACAGAAGAAATATGTGAAGAAATAATGGCCAAAAACATTCTTAATTTGATGAAAACCTAAGCCCACAGATCCAAAGAGCTCAACAAAGTCCATGCACATAAGACAGAAAAAACATAAATAAACACACATAAATATCAAATTACTTAAGACAATGAAAAAGAGACAGTCTTAAAAGCAGTCAAAGAGAAAAGACACACTCCATTCAGGGGAAGAGTTGAATCCCCAGGATGGAATGTGCCAGACAAAGTGGCTCTGATAAATACTTGTTGAGTGCCTGTTGTTCTGTCCCTGTTTTTGGTGCAGTAGCCACCATGGCCCCCCTTCAGCTCTGCACCTACAGCTGGCACCAATAAGAGCCATTCCCTGAGTCCTGTGTCCCCAGTGCCTCCAATAGTCCGTGTGGAGCGGCCACCAGGGGGCAGCAGGGAGTCACCTGACAAGGACCTGGGCACCAGGGTTTTAGCGGAATCACAGGAGATTGTAACACGCAGGGCGGTTAGTGACCATGACCCAACACCTGAAGGAAAAGGTGTCATTTATTTCTATAGCATCATCCTAGACAACAATGTACACATTTTCTGACTACATAGCCTTTTGATCTCAATCTAGTAGAAATTGCCTATTTCTCTGGCCCGGGTTCAGGCACTTCAGTTCCCCACACACCCCAGTCCTGCTGAAGCTCTATAATGTCCACACACGCCATCCTCCCTGTGATCAAGGTTCCCCCTCCCTCCCTCTGCTCTGAGAGGCTCCTGTCCTGCAGACACAGCTGCTCCTCACTCTGGGATGAGGGCCTGGCACACGGCAGTTGCTGGATAAACTTCGTTGACTGGATTAAATTAAGATATTTTATTACTTAATACATTTTCCCAAACAACTAACAGCACTTAATTATAATAACCATTCACTTCAGGTGCTCTTAGAGTTTGAGCCAGCTCTCATCTTATACAGCATTTCCTTCCAGCATGTTCTGTCCCTGGCCCTGAGTAACACTGGGGACACTGAGGCACAGCCTTATGAACTGCTCCAGGAGCTCACACCAAGGGCAGAAACTTGCAGCCCCTTGATTACTCTTTGTGTTTTTGGCAAGGGAGGCACTTTCTTCAGGCTCGGTGCTCAGGAGCTGTGATCTGGGTTAGGACCCTGCCCTTGTCTAAGCCTTTTAGTGTCACCTGTAGAATGGCTTCAGAAAAAGCAGGCAGCCCAGGAGTGAGGCCAGGACACAGTTTGGGGTAGAGATGTCGGCCCCAGACGATGGGACCAGCAGGAAGAGGAGAATCCCCTGGGGTGAGGGTGGGGTCTCCAGGGGCCGCCCCTCCCCTCTCTGTGTCTCTTGGGCCTGAGCCCTTCTCTGAAACCACAGAGCACCTGAAGCAGCACCCCTGAGCCCTGGCTGATTTGCATACCCAGCATCTCTCTCCAGCAAGGGTATAAGAGAGTCCTGGGAGGAAGCCTACTCAGCCTGGGGCCTCAGGGAGCAGGATTAGGGCACCTCCACCATGACCTGGACTCCTCTCCTCGTTCTCCTCGCTCACTGCACAGGCGCTGCACCCAGGCTCACACCCACCCCCAGCCCCAGGGCTCTGGGCCCAGCCTGGCCCTGACTCTGAGCTCAGCAAGGCGCTGCCTGTGGGGGCAGGATGCTCATGAACTTGCTGCAGGATGAGGGGCTGGTGGGGCTGAAATCTCCACACTGTGCTCACTGGCTCCGTGTGAGCCCTGAGGGCCCAGAGAAAGGAGGGCTTCCCATTTGTTCAAAGACTCCATCCACCAGCCAGGCCGTGGGCCGCTGGGACTGAGACTGATGGGAGGGGGTGCCCTGGGGGCCCACAGAATCCCTGGAGCTCCTTCAGGCCAGACAAGTAGGAGATCTCCTGGAAATGGGTCTTTCATCTTCCAGCCCATCTCTCCTTTTTACTCTTGCAGACTCTGTGGTCTCCTATGAGCTCACACAGCCACCCTCAGTGTCCATGTCCCTGGGACAGTCGGCCAGGATCACCTGAGGGGGGAGCAGCACAGAAGACTATTCTGTGCACTGGTACCAGCAGAAGCCAGGCCAGGCCCCTGTGCTGGTCATCTATAGTGATAGCAGCTGACCCTCAGGGATCCCTGCCCGATTCTCTGGCTCCAACGTGGAGAACACAGCCACCCTGATCATCAGCGGGGCCTGGGCCAAGGATGAGGCTGACTATTACTGTGCTGTAGCTGATAGCAGTGGGAACAGCTGGCAGTGACTCACGGTGACACAGGCAGATGGGGAAGTAGGACACAAACCTACCTGCCCTGGCCTGGCCTTCACCCTCACCTGCCCTCTGAGCAGCGGTAGGTCCTGGCTCAGGATCAAGTGTCCTCTCTGGTTCTGGCCCGGCCCCTCCAGGCCTGAGAGACTCTGAGCAGTTCTCTGAGTTTATCCTGCTGAGAAATGGTGGGATTGGGGGATGTTCTGAGCTATGGGGACTATTGGCAGGTTTGTATTAGACACAAAAGGTTTAGAAATTCCTCACATGGTCTCCATCGTGATCAAGTGTTATGTGTGAGAGGAGAGAGAGGTCTCACATGGTGCAGCCATGCTGGAGTTCCTTTTCCTTGAGTAGAACCAGCCCCGTGGAGTCCTAGGGCCCGTGCTCTTCTGGTTTCTTGGATGAGGCATCCCCCACATCCTCAGTGGCTGTGCGAAGCCTCCAGAGAACTGGAGACCAGGCCCCTGCTGGCCCTGGGGATCTTTTTATCCTATGATTTTCCATATACTATGGAAGAAGTGCAGACTCCATCTTGGGTTCTGCCTGGGGACTTTCTTCCCACAGCACTGCCATCCCACTGTCCCCAAAGTCCCATCACCAGCACCAGGCAGGTCTGACCCTATTGGGGTTGACCCTGCCTCCCTGTTGGGTTTGCATTTGGCGGTTGGGCTCTGGACTGCATTCCTTGGAGCTCACCAGGAAACCCTCCATGCCAAGCTCGGGACCTTCCCCTCAGCTCCATTGTCCACAGGACAGGCACGAGGGGAGCATCTCTGCTGGGAGATGCTGAGGGAGTCTGCCTGGAGGGACGTCTGATACCAGAGCATGAGTACCATGTTCACGCAGTTTCTTTTCTACCAATGTCTCCCTCCCTTCAAACATCCAACTACTTTAATTTTGAAACATCCTACAAACAAAAAAGTTCGAAGAATAGTGTAATAAGCTCCCAAATTTCCTCTCCCTAGATGCAACTCTGCTAACATTTTACCATTTGGGCTTCTATCTATGTCTCTATTCATCTATCCATCATCTATCTATCTATCATCTATTGTCTATCTCTCTCTCTATCTCTCTTCCCTCTCCCCTCTCTCATCAAAGATATTTAATGATCCATACAGCTCTTCAAAGCACAAGCTCTTTATAACAACTGAGAAAATTAACATCCATCTTCTATCCAGGCTGAGGTCACATTTACCAAGTTGCACAAGAATGTCTCCTAGAACTGAAGAATTGTTAACCAATGAGTATCCCCAAGATTCAAACACCAACATTTGCTTATTGGTTCTCTCCAATCCATCATTTCTCAGCCTGGATTCCTTGAAACCTAGGCTTACGGAAAATTTTGCAAAATTCCAAAAGAAGGGACTGTATTCATCGTGCACGGTAGGACCATGTTCACTTGTTGGGTCTATTTTCACTGTGTGACCAACAGGGGGTCATTCAGATCCCACGGCTCTGAGTTGCAGGGACAGGATGACAGTGGCTGATCACAGTGTTACCAACTGACTTATAGAAGTGGATGAGGAAATGAAACAATCCTCCTTCCAACCTATAAGTCAGTGCAAAAAGACACCGAGCATGTGGTAAGAGAGTTTTGTCTAATAAACTAACAAACAACTGTTTCTCTATCAAGAATGATAACTACAAAATTTCTCCAACATCAGCTGTAACTTTTGTAGGTGCTGACATGACAGTGGCATTCAAGGACACTTATTCTGCAGCACAGACCTATCCCAACAGCACAGTTAGACATCTCACTTATCCCGAAGGCTTTGCCCTCCTCTGGAACAAGGCTCTAGAGGGGGCTGGCTTGGCACCTGGACATTTGATGCCCCATCCATCACTGGCTCCACAAGACGTTTCACATTCCTGTTGAGAAAGAAAATACTGATGTCCTTACAACAAATGGCTTTCCTCACACGAGGATGGTGTCCAAGCTGTTGGAGAGTAAGTGAGGAAATTTCCGGAAGACCTACAAAAATAGCTAACTTTACACGCAAAGACCATTTCCCTGGAGAATATTTAAATGACCACAGACCATGATGACCTGGACAAAGATACACAGGTCTCCTCCTGCACATAGAAAGGAGAATATTAGAGCCGGCCCCGTGGCTTAGCGGCTAAGTGCGCGCGCTCCACTGCTGGCGGCCTGGGTTCGGATCCTGGGTGCACACCGACGCACTGCTTCTCCGGCCATGCTGAGGCCGCATCCCACATACAGCAACTAGAAGGATGTGCAGCTATGACACACAACTATCTACTGGGGCTTTTGGGGAAAAAATAAATAAATAAATAAAATTTAAAAAAAAAGAAAGGAGACTATTAGCCATGGAAATGCACTCGACTGGGCAGAAGAGATGAAAGGGGGACTGCAGAAGCACTTTCCAGAAAGTGGTCACCCCAACAGTGCTGGGAGCTGTGATGGTGAGGATGGTGAAGGAACTGAGGAACTGTGCACTCAGCAGACATTTCCCATTGTGTGAACCAGTGAACACGTCTCTGCAAGACCTGGATTTCAAGGGAGAGAGACTCTTGGGTTTAAATAAATTCTAATTCTTTGAAAAAGAACACACTGAAAAAGGAAATCCTGACACATGTCCCTGCTGCTTGGTCTGCCAGGAGGAACGACTCAGCAAGTCCCAGGTGATGGAGACCTCTCCAGAGATCTGCATTAGGAAGGGACAGTCTTGTTCCCCCTTTCAGCACAATGAGTGACAGGAGAGGGACCCGCTCTCTGACGCTCTGCTCCCTGAGAACTTGAGTTGAGAGAAGAGGGAGGACACCATGAGACTAGTCTGACCATAGCCTCCCGAATCCTGCTCTGCATTTCTGGGGAGGAAGAGTCTCCTGCCGCACGTGGAGAGTCATGTACAGGCGGCTTTCCAGTGTGAACAAGGGCAGAAACCACCTCTGTCCAGTGGAAAAGGGAAAGTGTTCATGAGAATCTCACGTCAGACCCAGAAGTGAGCACTTGTGCAGCACAAAGCACAGGCTTCTCATTCAAGATACATGCCATTCTTGACTTGCAGTTTCAGAAATAACACTTCTTATGCAAATATAGGTCTATTAAAAGACCAGATACCGACACACGTGCTTGATCATGTAAACTGCCAAGTCTACACTGAGCCTGATCCTGTGGCTCCACAGGAAAATATCATTTCAAAGCCCTGAATAAGCTTGTATCATAGGCTACATTTCTCTTCATATTTCTGTGGTTTATCGTCTTAGTACCTTCAATTTTAGTCCAGTGGGAGAGGGCAAAAACATCAAATGAGGATTTTTTGAAAAAGAAAAAACAAAAAATATTCTATGTACACTCCTGACTTGTATCAAAGCTGATACTTTGTGGGGAAGGAGGAATCACACAGAAAGAAAATAATTATTCTCTCCTCAATAAATCTTGACAATATAATGGAATGACGTATTATACCTATAATGTAATGATCCTAATAATGGACCATGAGTGGTAGACAGACTTTTATTAAGCAGGGAGCCTGAGGACCAATATTTCAATGGCACTTGCAGGAACAAAGACCATGAAAAGGCCCCTCTAGTTGGTGATAATCAGGGGCTTTTCATCCTTAGGGTTTCTTTCAGCCCCAAACAAAGCAGGGAGCTGGCCACCTTCCCAGGTGCCTTATCCTCCCCAGGTCCCGGTGCAGCAGCGCCCCCACAGGCCACTGGGAGCACTGACAGGGAGAAGCTCTCTCCATCAGGCTCCAAAAATGTTGGCTGAGGATTTTCCCTTGTCCCCTTCCCCAGCCCAAGCTGGTTCCTGTGTATTATAGGAAGTTGCTCTGTCTGGCCAAGGACCAGCCAGGCCCTGCTCTTCTCTCTTCCTCCTCCGTGACCTTGGGAAAACCACTCACTCTCTCTCAGGCCCTTTTCTTCTCTGTCAAGTGCAGGTCCTTCCCTGTGTATTCCTGCAGGTCAGCCAGTCTGTGGGACATGAGGGAAAGAGGGCATGGGTCACCCACATGGGACCCTAGACAGCTGGTGCAGGACCAAAGGTACATGCAGCAGCTTAAGTCCCCATATGGCTGCATGGTGGGCATGGGGATGGGGAGACAGGCAAGCACCACCCTGAGTGTCTTCAGCCCCAGGTAAACACCGAGAGGCCAGGGGGTGTTTCTGAACCCACCGGTGTCTGGAACTGGTCTGGATCCCAGAGCCCCTCAGTTTCCCTGGAACACCCTGACCCTCACCCATGGGCGCTGACTCAGCTCCTCCTCACACTCTCCTCCCCCAAGTTCACTCCTCTTCCCCAGTGTGGTGGCTTTGTTGTCATTGTTTTCATATTTTCATGGGAAATCTGAGCCCCTCGTGCCTGGTCTGAGTCAGGCAGGGGTCACGCAGAGAAGACCAATTCCTGCCCTGGGGCAGCAGTCCCTGGATCAGGAATCAGGACCTGAGCAGTGGGTCTGAGTCTACCCCTGGACAGATGACGCCCGTGCTCCTTCACAGCCAGTGTGGAGCGGCCACCAGGGGGCAGCAGAGATCACCTGGCTCAGCCACCTGGACATGCGGGGCCTGGGCATCAGGGGCTCCAACATGCGGGGCGGGGGTTAGTAACCACGACCTGACACCTGAAGAAAAGTGTGTCCTTCTTTTTCTATAGTGTCATCCTTCACTCTCAAGGACATTTTCTGGCCCCGTGTGTCTCAGATCCTGCTCGTGGAGAAGTTGCCTGGTTCTCTGGCACAGATCCAGGCACTTTGCCCCCAGCCCACCCTAATCACGCTAACACACCGTCACTGTCCACTGACATCGTCCTCCCTGTGACCACACCTTTCCCCTCCCCCACGTGCTCTGAGAGCCCCTGTCTTGACAGACACGGCTGCTCCTCCTTCCCTGGAAGCTCCTCCATCGTCCCCCTCACCTGTCCCTCCACTCACCTCTCCCAGGGAAGGGGAGAGGAGCCAGAAAATTCTATTCTTCCTGTTTCCCAGTGCCTGAAACAC